TTTACAATTCAATGCTCTGCAGCAAGCAGGAAAAGCTGGTGGGAAGGGGAGAAGCCAGGGCTACTAAAGCTGCATAAAGCCAATTTTTCCTTCACACTTTCTGTCATGTTTTTTGAGGGAACTCTGTGGGTTCACTCCTGAGCTCCTGCTCAGTGCAATACAGGTTCCTCAGGCCTTTCCAAATTACGTTCACCTCTAAATACAGAATGCTTTTGCAAAACTGAAGCAAGGTAAGCCTCTTGTTCTGGAAAAAATACTCTTGGTACGAATGCTTCCCTCCAAATGACCACCCCTCCTGATTTCCTCCATCCCCGTTCAACTCCTAAAGGGCTACACAGTGATACCAAAATGTGTTAACCTGATAGCAGCTAAAACAATACATTTTCAATTAGCGTTTTAGTTGGCTTTGTTTTGGTTTTAGCCAAAATTGACCTCTTAGCTGCCTGACAAAGCTTGCTGAATACACAGACAATCCCCACTCCTCACACATGGCACCAGCGTCTCCTTGGGGTTTCTTTTGCTTACGTGAGCAATTTTATTTGTCCCAAAAGTCTTCATCCACATAATTACCATACAATCATTTAACAACAAGAACTCACAATTTTTAGCACTTTTATTCTCTTTTTTAATTGATTATTTCCCTTAAAAGGTGAATCTAGTGTCTCCACAATGGCAGTCAGGATCTTATTTTTTGGAAATACTGAACTGATAAATCGATTTGTTTGATCAGTAGGAGACATACTGTAGTGACAAACATACACAGTCATTTCAATAATCCCAAATCAAACTGTTACTGAACTTTAATATTGTAGATACTGGTGTTTAAAGTTTGGAACTGTCACATATTAATAAATTCAATAGGGATAACTTATCTAAAATCTACACATTACACTTAAGAGTATCTGTTATGAGAAACACACTGATTTAAGTCAGAATACTTGTCAGCTTGAGGCCATTTTGAATACTTCAAATTGTCTATTAAGGATATACTTCCCCGCAGGAATCTACTTACCTCACCTGGATTTTACAGAATGGTCTGGCTTTATTCTAAGAGCGGCACTTCAACTCTTCTGAATATTCTTTCAAATACATTGATTAACGTAGTCTTTTTCAAGTATCTTGCAAAATGGCCAAAGTGACATCTGGTCTGACTTGTGCAAAGTGTCTCACTAGGAAAATTAAATTCTTTTCCCACGTTGCCCAACAGGAGGATGCTCATGGTCCTTCCAGGAGCAGCCAGCTCAAAAGGGGAGGAAGATGTATGCAATGTGAAAGAGTGCTGCCTTGAAAAAAAAACCAAACCACGTTGTTCTTCTCTTTAAATGGAGGATTTGAATATTTTTTCCTGAATTCAGGAATTCTCTCAAACCAATAACTTTCTTGGCCTCTGATGGCTAGTTGTAGTGTTCTGCTGAAGGTTTTACATGCAAGCAGTTCCTATATATCATTCTCTCAATTGCACTCTTTGAATTTCACTTTCATATTGAATTTCATACGTGATTTACTTTCTCTTTGCCTACTACCTCCTGAGAAATAATTCCATGAATGAAAATAAGGGGTAGATATCACTCTTAGGTGTGGATCCAGTGAGAACCCACATGAAATGCTGTGAAAGTCCACAGCATGTGATGCTCACAACAATCTTAGAAAACACTTTCATTAATGACCTACAAGAAGGAGAGAACAATGTTGAAAGATGGGAAGAACTGCAAGCTACAATGAAAATGCAAAAACATAGAGCTCCCTTGAGGAGTTAGAAACTCATGCAAGGAAAAAAAAATACGATTACATGAAATTACAAATATTATGAAGAAGGGAATAAAGATTCATTGTCAGCTGTCTCTTCCAAGGGGCATTAAATGATGCTAATAGATTCAAAGCAAGATTTACTTCACTTGTGCAGTTCTGCTGCAGAACTTCTTGCTGCGGGATATTAAGATATTTACATGTGTTCAAAATCCAAGGAGGCTGTCAAAGTACTCAGTAAGTATTGCTAGATAGCTGCCCTGCTCTAATACTCTTCTCTAACATCCACCTCTTGCCAGTGTCAGAGCTGGTAGGGCCGTTATTATGCCTGTTAGACAAAGTTAATAAAATGCCATATGAAACCCAGAACACTGAAGGGAAAATCCTGAGGATAAAAAAAAAAAAATCTGTCTAAAAAAAGCTTGACATGACTGAATTAGATAAATAGAAAGAAATAAATATGGAAGCAAGTAGACCAGTGCTAATCCGAGGCTGTTTCTGCAAGGACTCAGAAGTCTAGCTGAATTGGTGTGAACACACCCAGTGTGCAGCTGTAGGCACACGTGGTCCCTTATCTCCAGGAAGACTGACAGGCAGGATGGGTTTCACAGAAGAACAACCACATGATTAAGAGACTAGCGTGTGATTTATGAAGAATGATTTAAGAAAAGATCTTCACAGCTTGCTTAAGCGATGATGAAAACCAAAAGTGACAGCCAGGAGAAGAAATAGCTTAGATTTATTTAAAGAGTGTGAACATCATAACAAGGGGGAAAGAATTAGGCTCAAACAAAAGGGGCTAAAGTTGAAAAGGAACATGAGGTGAAATATCAAGAAGCATGACCAAGGTTGGGAATCATCTCGTCATAGCTTGTGACACACAAAAAAGTATGGACAAGGAAACTTCATAGAATATGTGGTAAGGGACAATCAGGTGCTGACCCATTGGAAAGATCAGTGGTGCTCAGGACTCCCTGATGCTCACCCTGGCAGGGTGCTCATGCTCTCACACAACAGATGCCACAGAAATTCTGCTGTTTCTCGTGTTTTCCCCTTTCATGATGAGCAGAAGTGTTACTCACAAGCACTTTCTCCTGGAATACATGTGCCGTTAGCAACACCTGGTGTTCAGAACAGCCACACCACAGGGTGCTTCTGCTGTCCAAATCTAACCTGATCTTTAGGGCAGAGGGGTCACAGTAAGGAGCACTCCTAGGTTTAAAACCTCTGCAGTACAGGAAGAGTAGGCCGTTGTTCATTAGCCAGCTGCAGAATGACATGCTGGCAGTAAGTCAGTGACAGCTAAGATATGTTAGTCACTATTCCACTTCCAAATCAGATAAAACACTGAGTCTCAGCACTAGAAGGATGCTCCAGATGCTGAAGCAGTACATGCAGTGTCCAGCTCTGCACTGTCTGCCATAACATCTCCCTCCGCCTCACCCATAGTGACGGCCCTCAGCTCTGGCCAGAGAAATGGTGCCTCTGCAGTTCAACAAATACTGTGCCACTAGATGAACCTCTTTCTTGAAAAGGCCCTTTATGGGAAATCAAAGGATCTTCTTTCCAGCCCAGCATCAGATGGTGGGTGCAGGCAACACTAAACTCCCGACAAGTCTCTCCCCTCTTGACTTGATGTCCTACAGGGTCACAAGTGGAGAAGTGACCCTCCATCCAGCTCACTCTCTATAGAGGCAAAGCATCAGGGCCCGTTGCTTAGAGCAAAATCCTAATGCGTCAGGTAGCATTTCATATGATGGGCCGTTATTTCTGAAGACTGGTGGAAATCCTGTCAGCATGCAGGTTATCTACAAGCTCTTAGGTCAGCAGGAGTCCTGCCAGCACAACAGGATAAGAAGCACAACTTGCTTTTATAAAAGTCACTCATGATTGAGCACAAGAATGAGGGCGGTGAGGGGGGCTCAGGACTGAGGGAAAAAGGGCTGCACTTTTGTTTGGGAGGATCTCCCTGTCCCTGCACAGGGTCATGCCTCAGCAGCTTCCAGCATCAGGGTTATCTTGCTAAATGCCCTCTGAGATACCTTCCAAACCCAAGAGGAAGCAGCCTCCTGGGCCATTGCTTTAGCAAAGAGCGAGCACAGGCTGAAGGAACAGATCGGCGGGTGCTGGGCATGCATGAGGGACAGAGCAGAAGGAAGAACCAGGGAAACCAGGACCCTCCCAACACCACGTGGCACTCAGGCCAATGCCTCTTGTAGAAACTGCTATGCACCAGCCACAGAGGCAGCCACTGCCACTGTGCGGGGGACCAGGCCAGTTTAATCCCCAGCCAGCCAAGAAACTTCACCTGCACCAGCAAAAATGGGTTCAAGGCTTGGCCATTACAGCCTTGTGCCTTGTGCAGGAGCAGGGCATGGGGAGGAGGGAGGCAGCAGAAGCTGCTGGAGTCCACCCTTGTGAACGTCATGTTTGGTCTGTCCAAGCACACTGTGTCTCCCACGCTGTACACAGCAGCTGCAAGTCTTCTCTGGCTTTTTGGGCTGCAATGATTGTTTGCATACTGGTTGCCATGCACACCAAAGGCTGGTGCTGGCACAGCCCTGTGGCTCAGGCTGCTCCTTACCGCCAGAGGATTCACCACACAGCAGCGATACTCCACACAGCCTTGTTCTACCTCCTCACAGTGGCACGACAGGACTGGCATGTAATTAAACCCCAGACATTAAAAATCATTAACAAGAAATTATCCCCAGAAACTTTCAGGGAAGCTTCACTTGAGGAGGCAAATGCAGTGAAAGTGCAGAGACGGTGCAAGCACCTCACTGGGACTCACCCTTCATTCCCACACTGTGGTCCTAGCTGCCTGTGACACCCCTGTGCATCCTCCTGCGCCCAAAGGAGCAGAGATGAGCTCTTTCCCTCCCACACTGCCCACCCAGACCCAGTCTCCAGGAGGCTCTCTTCTTGCCTATACCACCAAGACCTTGAAACGCCGCAGTCTTTCCTTGCACACCAGTTCCCCTTCAATGATTTAAGATTCCCTCTGTTATACACACCCCGAATCACTGGTACAACACGCCACGTACAGCACATGTTGACATACAAACACCAAATAATACAAATCTGCCAAGAACAGCTGATCTGGCTACCTACTCATCGGGAGCAGGGGAGTGGACAGCCTGGGAAGGTTTATTCAGAGCAATGTCGGCCTTCCCATGCCGCTACCTTTTCTTCAGGGAGGGATGAACATGGCCGAGAGGGGCAGGATAAAGGGGTCCAAGAGATATGATTACCTGTATCCTGTCTTCTGGCAACTCTGTTTTCATGGCCAACATCTCTCTAGCATATACATCAGGATAGTGGGCCTCATTGAAGGCCTTTTCCAGCTCCTCCAGTTGGTAGGATGTGAAGATTGTCCTGAGGGGAGTAAAACTCTTTGATCAAAAAACGTAAGAAGAAGAAGCAAAGACGATGAAGAGTCAGAGAAATGGACACAGAAGCTACAGAAACCTGGGTAACCTGATAACGCATAGCTTTCCCCACCCCATCTCCTGTGTTTCTGTGCACAAAAGGTCAAGTGCCAGGGTGAAAGGAGAACCAGAAAATGCCAGAAGACAGCACTTTAAACAGTTACAAATCACCTTCCCTTTAGGGACTTCCCTCTGGAGATGGTCCCTCCCGAGCAGCGAGCACCCGCAATCAGGAGCAATGGCACCTGCTCTTACATCTCAGATCCTGCTGCCTCTTGTGAGGATCCTGGGGGTGTCCCTATCCCTCACCCCTTCTCTGACAGGAGAGCACACCCACCCCTGACCAGGCTTAAAACCACCCCCCTCCTCCTCTTGCATCCAGAGGTTTCTTAACCCTTTGATAGTTACGCTGAGATAAAGCGGCATCCCCTCAGCACCCCATCTGGAGAGGTGCTGAGCCCTTCCCCAGCTGCCAGTCCTTAGCCTCTTCAATCTCCACAAGCAAATAATCCTCCCCTGGAGCCCCGGTCCTCAGCTGAATCCTCCAAAGGTTTTATCCACTCTGCTCCCCACTGCTTTTCACCAGTCCTTCCCTACAAAAGCCAGTGCCAGCTCCCTTCCTCTGCCTTTACCCTGGTTGCTTCCACTCTGATATCCCATTAGCTGCTCCCTGCCAGTTTGCATTACCCCATTATCCTCTGGAAATCCTCCTGGACCGCCCTGGGCGGGCAGCAGCCCAACCCGCCTCTGCGCAGCCAGTTCTCAGCTCGGGACAACCAGATTGAAAAATCAGCAGCTGGAAAGCCGAGACGGATGAAAGCCCTTCTCCAGGGGATGGATGAGAGGTCTCGGACCACTTCCACTCCCCAAGGGTTAAAACTTCCACCCTTCAACCCCCCGGTACACAAAACACAATTTTCAATAAAAACTAACAACTCTCCAATGGCAAAAAAAACCCCAACGAATTGCAGCCTTTGTTCAAAGTAATGTACAAATATATTATCAAACTAAGAAACACGTAGCTCCCAGAAGGGGGAAGGAAAGAGGAAAAAAAAGTCTTTTCCTAAAATACATCCGAATTTCAGAAAAGCCCTACAATTCCACAGAACATAAACAGAAAATCTCAGAAATATCCTCCGCTATTCAGAATCGAAAGGATTCCACCAGATTGATAACATTACTAACAAAAGCAGCGTGCAAATGCAAGGGACCTGCCTGCAATCAGATCCTTCTTTAAATTCACTCCTAAATCCATTCTCTTTTCAGTTTTCCTTCAGCTCCGACAAATCTGTGAACTCTAGGGACAGCAGAGGCACATTAACTGGTGTATTTTCTCTCCCTGGGACCACAGGAAAAATTATTCCAATTTTGATCCAGTTCAGATTTCAAGCATTCCGCTCTACCCTCCTCTGACCAGAGCGCCGAAGCCCAGCAAGGCTCACCGGCGGGAGGGTTTTGCCTGACATTCAGCTGAAGTTTTCCCCTTTTAGCTGTCGTCCCTGGGTAGCCCCTGTCTCTTTTGCAATACACAATCCATTCTCCCTTTCAGTGTTTCTATCCTGCAGATATCTGCAGACTATTGGCCTGTCATCTCCCAGCCCATTCCTGGTACAACTAGAGGTCTTAACCATTTAGTACAGAATATACAACTACAGCTAAATGTTGCAGGTTTGTTTCTGTCTAGAACTGAAAATAAAACAAATCTGAATTTCGTTCCCTCTCTCCCACCCAGACCGTGACCTGTACACCAGCCCCTACTGTGTTTTCACCCAGCCCTGTCTGGTCCACAAAGAAAACAAACCCGTATTTACTCCAGAGCACACAAACTGGGAGCATTTGCCTGGGGAGGGACCCCGGGTTTGGGATGAGCCCTCCAGACCAAGCCTCCTGTTGCGCGAATAGCAGGACGCCTCCTGGGATAGTCCGTCTCCTTCCACCCAGCATCCTGCTAAGCTTTCACTGGGGCATCTTTTAATCCACCCTTCCTGCATCGTGGCAGGATTGATTTAATTATTCCTAAATCACCCTCAGTGGATGGTGTCTGGCCTTCCTTTGTCCTGACTCTCTGGCCACAGCAATGCCAGAACCCAGCACGGGATTTTTCGTTTCTGTTTATAAGGCACAGACAACCCAACTCCATTTTAACTGTGGGAGAAGTCAGGCAAAGTCTATTACCCTGACCGTTCCTGAAGGGAAACCAAATCCCCTCCGGATCTCCCAAAGTGGGTCTGCGTTTCCTTAAGCAATTCTCCAGCCTTCTTCAGCTTTTCTGCAGGCTGTGTCTGATTCCCAACTATTTAATCTATTGGCAAAACATTTATTTATAAGTAATAAAATATTTAAATCATTGATAGAAATTGTCCCTTACTGATAGCCAGTATTAAGATTGCTATATGCTGAGCAGGGAATAGTTTTGATTATTTAATTGCTTCAGTTTTGGACAGGTTGATGATTTTTTTCCCCCTGAACACCGGTGATGCGCATCCCACCCAGATGCTCACAGGCTGCTCGGGTTTGCGGCTCGGGATACCTGGATCCGCAGCCAGAAAAATTAAATAAAAGGACACCTGTGGCCGATCCCCCGCTCCTTATAGGCACGTCCCCAAATCCGATCTGTTTTGGACGGGGAGAAAGAAAAAAGGGAAGGGCCCGGGGGAGAAGCCGCAGGGGCGCCGGGGCTCT